TTATCTTCCCCCAATGATGAGGCAAGCTGATACTAAGGCTCAATGGGGCGTGCTGAAGAATTACATTACTTGTATGGAAATTAAATTCCCAGTGCTGTACATCCTTATAGGGGGTGACTTTAATGTCCGATTGGGAGTCCAAGTTCCCCCATCAATTGAGGCACTCTACTCCCAAGAAACCCTCTGGGCCATAGGACACCTGATTTCAGCCCGACATTCTAAGGATGAATTAACAAATTTTGCTGGCATTCAGTTAGCCCTTTTAGCAGCCCAACACAATAAGATAATTCTTAATGGGAATATCCTAGGTGGTCTAACTGGTGAGTTTACTTTTAGTTCTTCACGTGGGAGTAGAGTTATTGATTTTGTGCTGGTATCCTAGCTTCTTAGAAAGGCAGTCTGTGCTTTTTATGTGGACTGCCTTATGGAGAGTGAACACTACCTCCTGGTTACAATCATTGGGCTTTCCTCAAATATACATCTCCCTAGGGGTCCCCAGATATTAGATCCCTATGTGGCCTCGTATACAAGGGGGATCAAATGGTCTTCTAATACTGAAAGAAAGTTTCACTCCTTTTTATCATCTCCGGAGTGTCTCAGCTTATACAATCAGGCCCTAACAAGTAGTGGCCCAGGGACAATCTCAGCCTTTGAATCACTAATTAATAGTGTTCAAAGGGAGCTAGGAGCCGTCCGTAGGCCGAGTGGTCCATATCTTTCAAGAAGTAATTCATGGTTTGATAAAGAGTGTCTGATGCTCAAGAACCAGATTAATCGGGTTTACCTGCTCTATCGTAATCGAGGGGATAAATGCCCACCAGAGGACTACTATCGCTTGAAGTGGAAGTATAAAGGACTAATTGCTAAGAAAAAGAAAACTAAAGAGAGAGAGAGAAGTGGGATCTACTTCTCTCCATCCAGCAGAAGAACACTCGATTATTTTGGCAAATTGTTGCCAGCTCCTTGCTGGGTCATCAAAAACAGAGATTGGGAAAACCATTTCTTAGCAATTTTCCAGGCGTCAACAAGTTCGACCGTACTTGGGCCACAGCTGCCTCCTACAGTTCCTGATTGGCAACCCGTGACTCATGATGAGATTACCGAGCTCATCTCCAAACTCAAGTCAGGCCCCTGGCCCTGATGCTATACCCCCTGATCTGCTAAAATCCAATCCTGAGTGGTGGATTCCTCTCTTAGCAAGACTCTTCACACATATCAATACCTCTGGCAGGATCCCTACCTCTTAGAGATTAGCAATTATTGTTCCAGTTTTTAAACGAGGAAATAGGAACAATCCAGCTGACTATCACCCCATAAGCCTGCTCTCCATCACTGGGAAATTATATGCTAAATATCTCCAACGTAGATTCCTCACTTGGACCGGAGAGTCCAATATTATTGGTGCTGAACAGATTGGGTTTAAAGGAGGCTGTGCCACACTGGACCACTGCTTTGTCTTAGCGCACTTGGTCGATAAATATACTACCATACCAGGTGGCAAACTTTTTACTGCTTTTATCGACCTAAAGTCAGTGTTTGACTCAGTCCCTAGGGGACTGTTATGGTCAAAACTGCTCAAAAGCTCTATCGATAGATGTCTTCTGTTCCTAATTAGATCCTTGTACAACCAGACCTCTAGTCAGGTCAGGTGTGGTTTGCAGGGAGAGCTATCCCAATTAAGAACGGAGCAAGGCAGGGTTGTGTTCTGGCTCCTCTTTTGTTTAATTTATTCTTATCTGACTTGGCCTTTCACATTGGACGTATTGAGTCCCATGCCCCAAAGCGGTCAACTACGAAGATCCCACTTCTCCTTTATGCTGATGATACGGCCCTCCTTTCACTGTCAAGGCCAGGTCTGAAAAGATTACTTTCTGCATTTGGGTCTACCTTTGCTGAGAACCACTTGTCCATTAATTATGACAAATCCAAAGTATTGGTGTTCTCCAGAGCCCGGAAATTGTATAACTGGGCTATCAATGGTAATGCTGTTAAGCAGGTTTTCCATTTTAAGTATTTAGGTATTCAATTTCAGAACACCCGTGCTTGGACTAGACATCGAATCCAGGTGCTGAATTCGGCCTCCTGTAGTCACCAGCAGATTTTAAGATTTTTTTATACCCAAGGAGGCCAGTTTATTCCTTCTGCTCTGCGTATTTACAAAGCCAAAACTTTGGCTCAAACTCTTTACGGAATTCCCATATGGATACGGGGCTTCAAGGATTGTATTGAAAGAACCCAGGCTGTCTTTCTTAGAAAACTTCTGGGTCTTCCTCCTTGTCTTGGTTTTGCTCCAATGTACCTGGAACTGGAACCGACATTCAATCAGTCAAATGTATGGTGTGGATTAACACCTTTAAATGGTGCTTTCCGGTGCTCTATCTGACAGTTCCTGGTAGCTACCTCTCCCTGGCGTTTGCTGACTCTCATATTTCTCGTTGGGAGAGGGAGCTGATGAAGAAGTTTAGCCTGCTAGGTTTTTTGTTTTTGTTTTTAAAACAGTTTTATTAATTTTAACAGCAAACAAAAACACATAAAACATAAAAACATCATCCTTTCCTTCATGAGTTTACAGACAGTGTGTCAGTTGGCTTACCACTTTTTTTGTGCATCCATTTCATAGTCTCCATTGTAGTTATATTACATAATAGCTCATATTATCAATCAACAATTATATAGCCTGATATCATTATTAAACAATCATTTGACTATAATTTTATTAATTCATACTTTAGCGAGATAACTATAGTTTACTTAATTTATTTTATAGCAAATCATGTCAGCCCAAATTATGATTTGCTATAGAAATTTAGCCTGCTAGGTTTTACGGGGGATGCCCTGGGAGATTATGGCCTTAAGGACGCCCAATTTAGGGTAGTCCAACGGCTTGTGGACATTGATTTGCAATATCTATGAGCCAGAGCTAACTAACTTGCTCCCCTTTGATCTTCAGCCAATTTAATAATTACGGACTGAGGATGGCTTCCTATTTTTACACTCTAACCATTCCCAAGTATAGAAGAGCTTTCTCCCTAGCTCGCTTTAATGTCTTGCCCTCAGCACTACTGGATGGGTGATTTAAGAGGCTCCCAATTAATGAGTGGCTATGCCCCGTGACAGAGTTGAGGTTGAAACTGTGGAGCATGTCCTTTTATATTGCCCTATGTATAACGCAGGCAGATCTAAGTTACTGTCTCTCCTTGAAACAGACCTTTCTAGACCCAATGTTAGTAATTCGTTCTTATATTGTCTAAGGGATGGCTTCCTCATACATCACTTATCAGGTTTCAATTTTTTTTTTAAGAACAGTAACTATCAGAGGAGAATGCTGTAATTCCCCTTAGTCAAGTTTTTGGTGACCAAATGTTCATGATTAATTTTCCCATGTTCTTTTTGTTTGTTTGTTCTAGTACTTGTGTTTTGGTCTGTGACTGCAAATAAAGTATTATTATTATTAAGTGCTGTTGTAACTTCAGTCACTAAAAGGACTGTTTTAAGGTGAGGAATTTGGGGAGTTGATGTCCATGCATCTTAAAACTGCCATGCTTACAAACACTGCTCTGAAACAAACACAGGTCATGAGCCATGAAGCTACCTCAACACCCAGTATTCCTGGATCCTATAATCAACCAAGAGGTAGTGATGCCCACCAATGGGAAGCCAGGCAGCCCCCCCCACCCCCGCCAAGCCCTACAGACCCCTAGACTGACATTTGAGTTGTGCTAGCAGAGGGAGAGGTTACAGGGCATAAGAGCCATGTATTTAGTCTCAAAGAACCAATCCATCAAGACAGTAAATCTACTGTAGCTTTTATCACATGCAGTTTGAACAAATGATATATGAAGTTACTGCAATGCCCTTGTGTTTTTATTTCTCTCTTCCCCTGACTCACAGCAATATCTCTGGGGTGTACAATCCAATGTTTAGGGAACTATAGGTAGCACTGGGACCTTAGATTGTGCACCACTGTGTCTGAAAGGTGCAATGTTGTCAAAATGGTATGTGCTGTGTTCTGATTGTACAGAGGGCACAATTTAGTATTTTAATCTTTTTTTGCCCCTTAGCAATATTGGAAGAAAAACTCTCTTGGTTTGTCCCTCTGGCAGGGATAAAGCTATTAGCACTGCAGGACAAATAGACCAGGAAGCAAGCTGCCAGAAAGAAGCCAGAGGATAGTGACATCAGCAATGGGCTCTGAGCTAGCTAGCTGACCAGAGAACCAGATACTGAAGGTTTTACACTCTTTTATTAGCTTTTGAGACTCAAGATATTTTAATGGGGCTTGCTGGTGTGCCTTTGGATAGGATCATTTTTTCTAGGTTGGTCATTCAGGAAGGAAGAGGTTAATCCTAGTCACTGAGAAGGATGGAGTTGAAAATCTGGTGAGTCTCTGGGTGCTATTGTCTTAATCTTGTCAGTCCTTATTGTTTTAGTTGAAAGCAAAAGAGCTGTCTCCTGTGGTTTCAGAGTTTACTTGCAGCTGCTGCATGTATCGGCTAGCTTTGACGCTATTATGCTTAGCTGAGTGCTAGACTGTTTTGGTTTTTTTTCTTTGTGAAAGACTTTGATTCTGAAGTTTTTCTGCTAAGCTTCTGTGGAAATGATTATTATTTTGTGATGTTTTCCTATTTGCTTGGGGGAGGGATGAGTTGCTCTTTTTTTCTATCAGAAGATATCCAAGTTGTGCATATCCTTCTGGGTGACCATATAAAAAACACCATAGGGTATCTTTCATCTTAGTATGAGAAAATATACAAATCCCCAAGAGCTTTTCATCTTCCACTAAATACAAATCAGTTGAAAGAGTGATATTACCCATAAGGTAAAAACGTCTCCAAGTTGAATCTAAAGCTAGCTCTGAACCTTCTAAGATAAACTAGTGGCTGGTTCATGCTACACAATAGTGTGGTTAGTTTGGTTCTGACTTTAAGATGTCACGATAACCTAGGTTTGTAAGATAACTGCCCGGGTTCCTTGTTTTCTGAGCAAAAGGCTATACTCACCTTGCAGGTGAAGCTGGAATTTTAGTACCTCTGGCCCTTTGCTTGCTTGGTGATGGATTTGGCAAGAGTAGTTGGCGTTGGCATCCGAAAATTCTGGTGTGAGCTTCAAGAGGCTTTCTGCTCTGAACAATTGGCCAGTGCTGGGCTGAGCAGGAGGCCATTCAGGGCCTTGCACAATCCTATCATTTCGGAACCACGTCATGGATATATTGCCAGGATAGAAATCTGTTGCTATACATGCAACCATGCTTGGCTTGGTCAACTGCACTGTTGTGGAGCCAAGTTTAACAAGTGGGGCAGCTGGGAACAGAGAGGACAAAAGAAAATATTTTTACTATCTAGCAACCCAATTAACTCCATTCATCAGCTCTGAAGGCCAACAGCCCTGATCCCCCATCTACCTACTGCTCTTCAGTACTGTTTGGAAAAGTGCAAGCCAGCGTCTGGAAGACACATGCCAGAGGGAATGGGAAAACTCCAAAAACCAGAATAGAAAGATTGTTCGTTTCCTACAAAAAATGTTGCAAAGCTATAATTTTGGGTCACAAAGGAGGTGGCACTGATGGAAAGAATGTCTAAACATCTGCACCTGTCCTTCTCAATTTCCTTACTCTGGGTCAATAAACAACTGCACATAAACACTGTAACAAACAAATACTCTATTTGTAGAAAATGCATTTAACTCAGTACCAGGCAGAGGTTGCATCCAGTTCTGTTCCTTATGAATTTACTGAAACACACAGTCACAAATTTACTGAAACACACAGTCACAAATTTAAAAAAATGCATTCATATGTACAGAATATGTACTATAAAAATTGTAAGAAATTAGCATATAAGAAACAGTGTAGTAAAGTCAAAGGACACAGTCTGACAACATGAAGGATTTTGGCTGACAAGTAGTTCTGATGGGCAAACCAAGTTAGCAAACATTTCTAGGGAAGAAATTCAAAGAAAAAGAAGACACTACTGATCATAATCCTCCAATGGCCAACAGTCCAGCTCAAATAATGGCTAATTCCCAGAGAGTAAAATCTGCTGCCAATTTCAGATGGTACAGATAGCATAGGTAGATATGTTTTATTTACATATTCATTCCAATTATCACTCTCTCTATATATTCTTGTTTTATTTATATTCGTGTGAGGGGGTATGTCTTACAAAAAAGAAAGGTGGACTAGAACAGCTAAACATCCTCTTCCTTCAGGGATGTGATTCAAATTTTGTAACAACTGGTTCAGGCATGGCTAGGTGGGCAAGGCCATGTAACTGGGTGGATGTGGCTCCTTTTTTGCCAGCAAAACCCCCCTCCCTGTTTTTTGGGCCTTCTGGGCCTCCGGGAAGCCTCCTGGGGGAGCATTTTTGCTCCCAGGAAGCTTCTCCCTCCAGTTTTTGCCTTCTTGGGCCTCAGGGAAGCCTCCTGGGTGAAGCAGTAAGTGAAGGGAATCCCAGCATAGCTGATCATAAGAAAGCTGGTCATCGGGAGAGAAAAAAAGAAATATCTCAAGGAGTGACTGGGCGGGGAAGAATGCAGTCAGCGATGTTGGGCACGCATGCCCGTCTTGTGCATGCGCGATAAAGACTGCCTGGGCGGGGAAGTGAGAGGAAGGGTGAGTGGAGAGGGGCGGGGCCAGCCAGGGGCACAATTTGCTGGTTTTCCGAACTGTGCAGAATCATAACAACTGGTTCTATAGAACCAGTCCAAACTGGTAGAATTCTACCCATCTTCCTCCCTTTGTTGTTTATTACTTTACACCTGCTACCTTCACTCTCTAAGTCATGTATGTTTTAGCATCATTAATAGTCAGTAACCCCTAATTCCCCCGAAAACACTTTTAAAATTGTGGCCTTGGTCAGAAGTAGGCAATAAATTTCCCAAGGAGCCAATGACTGTTGTGGAGGGCTGCCAGTGCTACCCTCTGCCCTCCAGCCACCTAACCCCGGCCCCCTGCCCCCTTTACCCCCTTTACCCCCTACCACCCCTGTCCCTGCTGCCAATGCATTGCCTCCCCTGCAGGCCATAAAATTCCCAAGTCAGTTCTAGATCAAGCCTTTTAACCTGTGTTGCCTTCTCCCTTTAAATAAGGTTATCATTTGACCCTCATTCTGTTTCCCTTGGTTTCTCTTACCTTCCACTCTCAACACTACTGACTTCTTTTCACTGTCAGGACTGTGGATAACAAAGCAAGTGTAAGTGGTGCCATCTGCATCCTGAACATTTGGAAGCAGGATGCTGGCGTTGCCCCGCAGCAGTCCTTCAGAAGACATCTTTGCCCCCGGGTGAAAGACTTCTAACTTATCTTCATACTTAGCAATATCTCTTGTACCCACACTCCATATCACAGCCAGGCGTTTGGGATCTATGTGACCAGAAGACTCCTCAAAGTAACAAGGCAGCAGGACATCAGAACCCGGTTTGGCTTGAATTGGGCCTTCGGGGACTGTGACGGTCAAAGCTGCCTCTGCAAGAGAAACGCAATAGGAAGAATTGTTGTTAGAAAATCAACAAGGCACTACCGATGGTCCTCACAGTTCACTTAGTGGCTGTTCAAAATTACAATGGCACTGAAAAAAATGACATGACTGTTTTTCACACTTATGGCTGTTGCAGAAACTTGGCAACTGACATATTTACGAAGTCCTAGGGTCATCGGATCACCTTTTGTGACTTTCTTATAAGAAACCAGATTTATTTAACAATGATTTTATTAACTTAACAACTGCAGTGATTCACTTAACAGTTGTGACAAGGTCATAAAATGGGGCAAATTTACTTAGCAAATGTTTCACTTAGCAACAGGAATTTTGGGCTCAGTTATGGTCATAAGTCAAGGACTATGTGTATGCAGCCTGGCATCCACATAAGTTCAGGATTATCTATTTTAGTTAGAAGAAAAAAGAATAGAATTTTTTAGTGGCCAAGTGTAATGGGAAACACAAGGAATTTGTCTCCATGCATAAGCTCTCAGTGTAAATACAAGCAACAAGTGATCAATCACGATCATAATTATAAAATACAATCATCATAAATCATTACATACAACACTCAGTAATAGTCATAGGTTACTAAATAAGCAATTAACTAAAGTATAATTGGTATCGTAATAAATTATTAGTTATACTAATAAATAATAAATTACTAAAAAACCAATCAGCATAAATTATAAGATACAAACAACAAAGTTATAGCCATAAGAAGCTAAGGAAATAGATAATAGGAAAGATGAGGATAATAGCAATACAGCCTTGCTACGATAGTTTGATATCCCAAGGCATAAGACAGTGTTGTGGGAAATAGTTTTTAGCAGAGTGATAACATATGGGGGGAGTCAGGGGGTAAGCTGTCCTTGTATCTAGTTGTTGTATCTAGAGGTCTTCTCAGTTGAGATCAACCCATCTGAAGAGATTTTCCCATAACAGCACCTCTTCAGGGAAAGCAGGCTATGCCCTCAGTGATGGCCTTGTGAAGATAGTGAAGATCCAGTTTTATGCACCATCTGAAACAAAACTTTATTGCTTAATTCATTAGCTAGTGTATGGCTATTATTTCATTTCATTTTTATCTTGCTGCACTACGGTACATTCATTGTGCATATACGTCTGACAAATAAATACACAATTGGGCTGGGCCTCCTTCATGTGTAGTTTTGTAAAGGAAGGTTTATTCTTTGACTGAACTACAATTATAAGGGTTCCTTGATAAAACTAGCTCGAATTTGAATGCGGATTCTTTCCGAAATTCATCATCTATTTCCACATTATCTATAGCAGTAAAATATTATTTCAGGGACAGTTTTTCTTTCTCATGAGCTCCTCTAAGTGAGGCATCTTTTGACATTTGATTGGTGTGCCATTTGAAAGGGGTATAAAACCTAATGACTTAGACCAGAGTTGTCAAACTCAATTTCATTGAGGGCCACATTAGGGTTGTGTTTGATCTCGGGGGCGCTGGGGGGGGGGGCGTGACAGCTCGATGTCACTCATGTGGGGGGCACCTGTGGTGGCCAAATGCTAAGGCAAGACTTCCATCAGACCCTCCCTCATTCTCATAAACTTCCTTCCTACCTACTTTACTTTTCCTCTTTTTCATTCTTTCTTCTTCCTTCCCCTTTTTCTTTATTTTTCCTTCCTTACTCTTTTCCCATCTTTACTTCTTTTTCTTTCTTTCCTCTTTCCCTTTCTCCTTTCCCGTCCCTTCATCCTCAAATGCAAAAGGAGAAGCATTTCTCCCTCTGTTTTGTTTTTAGTTTGTTTTATTAGCCCTCTGCCAGTGAAAATGGAGCAGTGGGGCCGCACTCCGAGCTCCATTTTTTGCTAGCAGAGGCACCGTGAGCCGGTCTCCAGGCAGCCCTATGGACCAGATCTAGGCACCCTGCAGGCTGGATGCAGCCTTGACACCCCTAACTTAGCCTAACAAGGAAATCCTGTCCAGATTCAAGTGGCAAGCCCCACTTAACCCGAGAACCAAGAAAGACAGTTATTTCTGAGCAGTTGCCTTTATTGTTCCTTATTTCTAGACAAAAATCTTGCCAAACTAAAGCTACTATTTACATCACTATAGATATACTTTGGAAGTTGCTAGGGAGGAAACTTCTTAACTCTTTCTCCTGACCAAACTCTTCATGCTTTACTGACTCCTTGCCCTCTGGAATGTCAAACAGGAAAATGAATTTGGCCTAGTGGTTAAGGCACCAGGCTAGAAAGTGGGAGACTGGGAGTTCAAGTCCTTCCTTAACCATGAAAATCACTCGGTGATTTTGGGCAAGTCACTCTGTACAAGCCACTTCACAGGGTTGTCATTGTATCGAAAATAGGAGAAGGAAGGTGGGTTGTATATGTTTACCACTTTATTTGGAAAGAAGGCAAAGAAAGCTTTCCCTTCTGTGAATCCAGACTATATTTCACAACTACATAGACCAAATTCAAGCCCTCTTGAACTAAGGGCTTTGATTCACCAATCCCCATTGCCACAGTTCTTCAAAAACAACCATTAAGCTGGGTCCATTGCCATCCCATTGCATTAGCCACTGGCAAGATACCAGGCATCATTCAGCTTTTTCACCACATCTCTCTCACCATGCTGTTGGTTAGTTCTTGGGCCCCACTCCCACCCCACAAGCCAGCAGATCAGCAAATAGCTGATGAACGGTGCTGATTCACTGAAAGCAAGCATCAATTGCATTCCTTCCCCCTGGAGGAAGGACATGTGATTTCCCTTGATTTATCCATGGTTAAGCCTTATACTTAACATCCTTGAGGGCAGAAAACGAAACTTATTTCCATCACATGGGCTGAAAAAGGGAAGTGGCAGAACCCTTGCCAATTTTATGTTCTTAAAAAAGACAAAGGGGCCTTCCATTTTCATATAGTTTTATTGCACATGTTGATTAAAATAGTAAAAACTAATACAAATTTCAGAAAAAATAATTGTAAGAAAAAAGAAAAAAGAGAAAATAAGAAAACGAAACACATAAGTGACTTCAAACCTTCATCACTACATAGTTCATCGTTCGAACCTGCATACTATATAGCACTATGTTTATTAAGTCTTCAACCTCTTTTTACAGCTATCTCTTCGTCCCATATCCCATCCCTTATCTGTAAGCAAGTCCATAAACACCAGTTTTTCAATTCTGATATCAGCAAACAGCCCGCAAAGGTTGCCAGAACTCTTGAAGTTCAAGTCCGCACATCTTAAATTGGCCAAGTTTGAAAAACGCCGCTCTGAACCGTTTTTTTAAAAAAAGTGATCTCGAAACACGCATGCCACGGAATAACAATGGCGGGAGTATGAACCGCACTTTTTTTTGTCCCCTGAAGCAACTCCTCTTAGGTTAAAAAGATTTCGTAACAATTTCCCACGATACCCCGCTGCGCCTTTTCCGTTTCAAGGGGGGCGAGTGTTGGAGGGGGGGTTATTTCTGCCTAGAAGGTGAGAGGGGGCTAAAAAGCGAAAAGTCCTTCAGCCCAGCCTCCAGATGCAATATAGTCCCTCTCCAGTCCCGGGCTTCACTTTGCTCCCTCACAGGGAGCGTTTTTTTCAATAATCGGGATATTCCTGAGCTCTGTGGGAGTTTGGGTGATTCGGTTTTCTGGTTACTCACGTGTAAACGGCAGATACAGCAAGAGGCAGGCGAAGAATTCGAAAGAAGGCGACATATTGATGCGTTGCTGGTCCCACAACATATTTTTTAAAAGCCAATTCTGGAGTTTCGCTTTCCTCGGAATACGCCCCTGCTCAGCGCTTCATGTTTTTTCCGGGTTACCGAAAGAAGCGTTTGCTGATTAACGAAGAAAAAACCCGAAATACATTTAAGGAATAAACTATAGTTACCCCGCGAAAAAGGAGTGGGAGGGGGAAGAATTTTATTTTTAAAAAAATAATAACTAGATAAAGGCAAAATTTGGGACGTGTAAAACCAGCTAGAAATAAATTTAAGGACATAAACTATAGTTACCCCGCAAAAAGGGGGTGGGATGGGGACATTTAAAAATTTTTTTAACTAAGTAAAGACAAAATTTGGGACGGGTAGTTTATCCGAATTACCTGAATTCAAATAAAAATTAAAACCGAAGTTGTTAAGATCAGAAGAAACAAAAGACAATCCAATATAGAATGTTTGCTTTTTCAGGATATAGGACCTGATAAAACGTAATAGTAAGAGAAATAAGATCAATAATATGCTGGGACAAATTTTCTCAGTTTGTTAAACAGCGCAGTGAGAACCATTTTATAGAGCCAGGGGAGGAGCCTGACGCTCTGTTTGCAATTGTTACTATCAATCAGAATAGAACTGGAAGGAACTTTGAGGTCTTCTAGTCCAGCCCCCATTTCAGATATGTGATTGTCCAGCTTCTTATAAACCTCTAGTGATGAAAATGTTATTGCTTCAAAAGACAAGTTCCGCTGGTTAATTGTTCTCATTGTGAGGAAGTTTCTCCTTAATTCCAGGTTGCTTCTTTCCTTGATTAGTTTTCATCCATTGTTTATTGTTCTGCCCTCTGGTGCTTTGGTAAATAAGTTGCTTCTTCAAATACTGGAATACTGCTATCATGTCACCCCTAGTCCTTCTTTTCTCTAGACTGGCAATATCCAATTCCTGCAGCCATTCTTCATATTTGTGTCAAGGCCTTTAATTATCTTAGTTGCTCTTTCTTTGCACTTTTTCCAAAATCTCAACTTCGCTTTTGTAATGTGGAGACCAAAACTGGATATAGTATTCCACTTGTGGTCTTAAGGATTTATAAAGCTACCACTAATACTCCACATGATTTGGATTCTATACTATAATTATTTTCATCTATATTTGGAGCAACTGTTTTGTGAGAATGAATTCCATTGGACTATGACTGCATTCAGGAAATTTCCAAGAGTAAGTAACAAGAAAACTTATTACAATTCTTTTCACCATCAACCAGATGTTCAGACTGGATTTGGCATTTTTATTTACCTATCAAGATCTTCCTAGGAACCTGGAATAGGGATATATGTTTCATGGTTTTAAAGGTATCATCACAAGATGTAAACTATGTGGCTTTTCACTGCCTGCTTCCTGGCGACGACAGGGTCTGGACTC